CTAAGACTGAGTGCCTGACACTGCTTAGCTACCAAGACCAGATAGGATCTGGATATCCACTTTTAACTAGATAACAGTATGTACTGGGCTATTGTGGAAGAGAGTTGATGAAAGGACTAAAAGACACAAAACAATAAATACAGTCATCCCTTTTAATTTGCAGGGGATCCACCACACGAATCCCCAATATTGTGGTCCCATTGATTTCAATGGCTGCACACATGCCATAGGCACATACACCATTTTGTTCCTTCCCTTCTCACCATCCATGAAGAGCAAGACCACGGACCTCAAGTCCACAAACAGGGAGGGATGCCCGTACTTAAAATTTATTTAATACATTATTTAATTAATACAGTTTTAAAATTAAAAAAGGATGGTCCATGAGCACTTGGCTAATTGAAAAAGTGGCCTCAAGCACTGTTGCAGTTACCATCTTGGTTTACAGAAAACATTTGGGGGGAGATGTGTTGGCCATATAGCAAAGTCAACCAAAAATCCATCAGTGATACTTGTATTGGCCAACCAAAATGTACAATATACCTGTGGCAAGCTTTCAAAGCTCCATGGGCTTCTTCATCAGGCAAGATGTTACAAACCAAACAGGAGAAAAACAATTGGAGATGTTAGTCAGATGTCTACATGTTTATAATTTAAGATAATTGGTTTACAATTTAAGATACCACATTCCCGACAAGGCAGAAGTGATTTCTAAAGCAATGATTTTGTGTCAGGCTGCAGTTATAAAAAGGAAAAATTTAATTATTTTTGTGCTCTTGCTAACAAACAGAAGAAACAAAAATCAATGTTAAAATGTTAATAATTTTTATTATGTTTCTGTTTTATTGAATTGTACTTAAGCATGAAAGCAGATGTGCCTTGATTAGGCTTATAAATATAGAAATGTATTGATTACTTAAATGAAACTGCTCAAAATGCTCACTGGGCTAGACAGATATGTCTCTTGAAAGATGGAAGGCCTGGCTGCTCCCTTGCCATGAACACAAAAGGCTTCTCTTGCTGACATCTCAATTAAGACCAGGTAAATATTGATTAGTTTATGAACTCATAGTGATATTTCATTGATGAACATTTACAGAAATTGACAGAATGATAATTTTATTGCAGTGCACAGGCATAAACTGGAGGGGGGGAACACATTGAGAAGTGGGGGGAAAGGACAAACTTCATTTGCATTGAAACCCTAGCAATTTCTACAAGGTCAGATGTTTGCAAACTCTTGTGCTAACTTAGCTTCCCATTGCCTCTGTTTCTTGACTCCACATTGTTTACATATTTACTCATTCATTTTAGAATCTTTTAACTTCTCCTTTAATGAGATGTGAACCTACATCCCTACCATATCTTCTAAATCTTAAAATCCTACGTCTTTGCCCTTTACTTCATGGTTCCTCCTCTGAAAAATTACTGGATGATGACTTTGCATTGCAATTCCCTTGGCAGTATTAACTGCATAGAATCATTTACAGAGAATGCTTCTGCCATAATTCTTTGTTTTCCCATGGAAAATTGAGTAATTTCTTTCTTTCTTAAGAATACTACGAGGAATGCTTGTAATAAAATGTAGTATTAGCAAAACTGCACTCTAAAGCACTTGTGTAAGATTTCCATAAAATTCAATAGTAGCCACATAGTCATTCTAAGCTGGAATTTGACATTCAATCCCTTAGGAAATATAACAGGAAAAGCAGATGCTGTAGCACTATATTATATTGCTTGAAAGTTGTGCTCAAAGTTGCATAAAGCTGTTTCTTCATTTTATAGCAAAGAGATGGTGCTGAGCAGATTTTTGGCAATATTTTTGAACAGTACTGAAAAATATGTGCAGATGTGCAATGCCTTCTGCTTATACCATGCATGTTTATTACAAATAGCTTCTTATACTACGCACACATACAATGCCAAAAAATGTTTCCCCTCTATGTCATCAGCCCAGATTAAAGGACTGAGATGTAGCCTGCTCTGAATGAACTGTTCCCCCAATATGTGGGTGTATAAATTAAAATGCCTATGGATGTCTAAACCCCTTTTCAGGTAAACCAGGAGGCTCAGCGTTCTCTATGCATACTGTAGCTCTCATAACTAATGTAGAATTTATTGTAATGAGAATTTTACAATATGCATGTAGTCCTTATGGTTGCAAGATTAAACCAGAAACTTGAACTACATTTCTGTTACTCAGATTGACTACCTTTGTCCCTGTACATATGCAGAAGAAGTAGAAATACTAAATTACCAAGCCAATGTACACTTTAAAAAGTTAGGTAGCACTTTGTGATAAAACTTGAATTATTTGAATTATTATATAAAGTGTCCACAGTCCTAGTTGCTGGAGTTGGAATCAAATTGCATATAATATTTGCTGATAATATAGATTGGCTTTGATAATCACTATCTCTTTCAATGTGGCCAGTGAAGAAGTTGACATTGTGGAGACAATCTGTCTTCAAATCTATCCCTTGCAGAGCATGGCAATGTATTTCTTGTACTTTGGTCTAGGTTGTTCTTGTGGAAGCAGAGAACTATAAGTCTATGATGGTTCTATATGATGATCCATGAAGATTTCAGCATAAAACTAAGATGCATAAATCTAGCATGCAATAGCATAAATCCTTATGTAACAATCAAAAACCAAATATGGTTTTTCTGGTATAGGTTTATGTGGCACATGTCCAAAACTACTGTTTCAAAGTTCCTTCAGACTAAGGACAAGTTCACATATATATGAACATTATTTCATGTCTGTAACACCGATCAGATATCAGAGCTGAGATTTCACTTTACATACAGAATTTGCATGGAATTAGTCTAAATATTGAGTCACTCCATGGCTTTTGCAGTTTATGGTAGAACTACACAATTTTTCCAATTTGATAGGAGGGTAATTGCCATGGCTCCATCCTATGGGATCCTGGGATTTATAGCTTGATGAGGTACTTGTAATTCTATACTAGAGCTATCTAGTCTATTTCTCTGAATGACAGCATTAGACCTGTCCAGCAGAGAAATAAAAACTACAAGCTGCAGGATGATGCCATAGAGGTTAAAATGT